CCCGGCTTTTCCCATTTTGCCGAACCTCGAGAAACCCGGGGGTTTATTGCACCTGGAGTTCAAGGACGCTCCCTCTCACACTTCGCCGTCTTAATAAAGTCGCACAGTGCCTGCTTCCTCAGCTTGCTTACCAAATCCTGGATTAATAAAGTTTACTTAGTTATTTAAATAGATTAAATGTCACATTTTAAATGGAAGGGGAAGGTTCTACCTTCCTGACCTATTTTTCATTTCTGATTTAGAAAAAGGCAAGATTAGCATGGATATTGCATTTTCAAGGACCTCGCCACTATTAAATAGACTGTTAAGTGCATTTTATGGCTGAAGAGTCTGTTCCCAGTTCAGTCTGGAAGACGTGCTAAGTTCATCTCTACCTGCTACATTGAACATTCACTGACTAAAATACTTCCTGTGGATGTAATACCTATGCTCTGCATCTTTTAAGTACATAACGCTTTATGTTTTAGCACTGGTAACACGTAATTCAATAAAAGCCCCCGAAACAGAAGTGTTGTCTCCCAAGGAAACTGCATGAGGGTGTTTGGCCAGTTGCAGCAGTTCCCGGCTCGGGGAAAAGGCACGGCGGTGGGTAGAGAGACTTCGGGAAGGGGTGACGGGGATGCTCGCGGCTCCGGGCGGGGGTTTAAGCGGGAGCGCATCAGTCACCGCCCCGGGGAATGCCCGTTCCCGTGCCCAGATCCACGGGGATGGGCAGCGCAACTTGCGCGTGGAACTCGCTGTGATTTGTCACCGGCTGCCTTCTAACACCAATAAATTCCCCCTCGGAATGGCGAGGCTGTTTTTCCACCTTCCGGGCCGAGTTGACCCCGCGGGGTCGGACCCCCGTGAGCCTCGGACACGAGGAAGAGTCCACAAAACTGCCCGAGCTGCCCCAGGAGGCAAAATCCCATCGAATTCCCTCGGGAACTGCCCCCCTGCCCCGCACCCGCAGGCGGGAGAAAAAATCTTCACCCCCGCAAAAGCAAGTCCTTGTGTCTTTCCCGGAGCGGGAGACTCCCGAGAGCCCAATGAAGGACGAGGGACGGCGCTTCCCAAAGCGAAATGTTGGCCTCCCTTCCTTTATTCCTGGCCCAGGAGAGCCGCTTCCCCAGAGTCGGAGGGAGCGCTGGGAGTCGGGCAGCGCTGCGATATGCGGGGGGTGGGCGGCTAAATGCCCCCGGTACAGCCGGCGCGGACCCAAACCAGTAACCCTCGAGGAACAGGGAACCGTGTCCCAAAGGGGTTCGATGTCCCCAGTGGATGATTTTCTCCGACCACCTCCCTGTGGGACAGACCGAGAAGGAAGGTGTCCGATGGGCATCCCTCCCTTGGTGCCCCCGGAGCGCTCCCGACGGTGTTTCCTCCGGGAAACCGGCCCCAGTTCTGCCCTCCCGCAGCTCCGGAGAGGGGTCTCCGACCGCTACCCCGCCGGGAACACGGCTGTGCCGAGCCAGGGGACTGGGGGCGGAGGGGGCTCCTTACAGAGGAACAACGTCCACGCGCGATAAATACACAATGTCCGCAGATCTTTCCTTGCCATTTCCAACGCTCGCCGCAGCCTCTCAACACCCATTAGCCCGGTCAGCCCGTAACTTTGAACCCCGCACTCTGCCCGGGAACAGACCGTGGTGCTATAAATAGAAGGTGCTGGGAGGCGGCAGAGCGGAGTGGGGGGGAAAAGGGGGCGCAACTCCCGCGGCCGCGCAGGGAAAGGCGAGAGTTCCTCGGGAGCCTAGGAAATGGCCCTGATGAGCCCATCTCGTCCCTTTTTCAACCAACGTGATGGTTTAGAGGATTAGGGCCAGATCCTATTGTACATTCCTTCCCCGGACGGAGGGAGCGGCGGGGTCGTAATTGCGATAAACAAGGGGGGAAAGTGTCAGCGGGGTGGAGGTGGCTCTGGGTAAACTCTCTGTGCTGCGAGGAGGGTCATTTTCGCGGTGTTTTCGGATCTAGTTACTTCCAACACACCCCAGGGACCGACGTGACACGACTTACACTAATGGGCATCTGTCACCGGCCGTGTCAAGTTGTGCCATATGCATCGGACAACTTCGTGGAAGGGAAAAGCGGAGAAAGAACTAGGAAAAGAGTTTCTGTGGTCTGCCTGAGGAAAGTTCGCCAGGACATGGTGCTCCCGTTTGCCCCCGGCCCGCCGCTCCCGGTCCGGCTGTGGGAGCTGCGCCCACTCCTCTGGGCAGCACCGTGCGGGAAAGCCGCTCCCGTCCCGGCTGCAAACCCTCCCCTATATGGGGACCGATTTCTGGCACCCCCGGGACCGCCGAGCCCCGCCGGTAGCTTTGTGCCCATTCGGTGCCGTCCCGGGGGCGGCTGCGGACACCGGGAGTGCTCCCAGACCCCTGAAGTGCTCCCGGTTCCCCGGGGTGCTCCCGGCCCCGGAGGCTACGGGGGTGATCCCAACCCCGAGTGATGCTCTGGGGGATACGGGATGCTCCCGGTCCCGGCGGGGCGCGCCCATTCCCGCGGGTGCAGCGGGAGCTGCCGCGCCCCCCGCAGGCCCCGGTGCGCCACTGCAGCCCCGCGGCCACCGGGAGCCTCCCCCGCCCGCACGGACCCGCTGCCGCTCTCGGCCCCGCGGCTGCCGGACCCAGCGGCTCCCGCGGGGAGGGGGCGGCTGGGTGGGGGTCTCACCGCGGTCCTTCCCCAGCCCCGCGCCCTCCCGGTGCTGCCCGGCCCCGGGGGCCGCCGCCGCCGTCGCCCCTTCCCGGGGAAAGGCTTCTCCTGGCAGCCGCTGTCCTCGACGATCGAGGGAAGACTGGGGGAGAGAAAGAGAGGACTGAGGGAACGGAGCTAGAAGCGGTTCCCGGTGGGAGGCAGCGGGAGGAAAGTTGCCGGTGCCGCCGCCGCCGCCGCGCAGATGCCGAGCCGAGGTATTGCTGCTATGTGGGGAAATATGAGCGAGTAATTTTATAAGTAACAAAGGCTGGGGAATGGAATGAGCCCCTGTTATCCGGTGTCCTCTGGAAGCCCTGGATCAGCAGCTTCTTGAGCCTCACAGTGACTCCGGGCAGAGACTCCTTCCTTTTTTCCCAGGGGATCCGCTAAATATAGAAACCCCCTCAATCGCACAGATCACCCACCATTTGCTGTTTGTGTAAAACCGATTACCCAGACACAACTGTGAAACAACCCGCTCCTCTGACACCGCCACGCACCGCCACATTCCGCTCCGCGGGGTTCCGCGGGGCCGTGGGTGCCCGTGCAGGGCCCCGAGTGTCCCCGCTCTCTCCAGGTTCTCCCTGTCCCTGGCAGATGATTAGCGAGTCCTTATTTATAAAGTTCAAACGATCTCATCACCGGGGCTGCTCGGTTTATTTTAGTCTATGTATGCGGAGGTATAAATATTTACTTAGGAAGAAATAATATTTACTGCTTACCAGGAAAGCAAGGACACTTTTATTTATACATTTATTTTAAATTCGCGGCTGCCAACTGGTTTTTGGAAGGGAAATAAGCGCCTGGTCCAGCTCCTCCCGCAGCCGAGCCTGCCGCATCCCGCATCCCGCCTGCATTTCACTCCGCCGATTTTCCTAACAAAGACAACGAATTATTTGGGCGGAAAAGCAAAATCCACGAAGGTTTTCAAAGGTGACAAAAAATGTCACGTTGTAAGAAGAAGATAATGAAGTATCAGACACTGTCAGTGCACAGGAGAGACTGAGATCTCTCCAGGCTCAACACCTCAAAGCGCCGCTTTAAATATTATAACGCTACATATTAATTCTCCCTCTTTTTTTTTTTTCCTCTTGACCGGGTCTTTACTTTAGCCCCGAAAATATACTTGAATCCATTTTTTTTCTTTTTAATTTTCGCAGCTGCCGTTAAAGCTGAGTTTTTAGGAATTAACTGGGAAAGGCCAGTTCCTTCCCGCGGGAAGAGCCGCTGCATTAACAGCGATAATTTTCCTGATCGAAACGAAAGATCCACGCTCGGACACCGCACGGGCAAGACTTGAATATATGTAATTTTTTTTTCATATAAAATAAATAATAAACATTGCTTAAACTGACCCAACCTGTTTTATGCAAAATAATTTCCCTTATAATTAGCCCCGAATGCCGACCCAAAGCGTACCAATTCCGGCCGGGAATCCCGCAGCGTCGAGATGCGGAGCCGAAGTCAGGCCGAGAAAAATATATATATTTAGGGAAATATCACGGCGCGGTTGAGGGAGCCTTGGATCTGCAGGGGAAGGTTTGATTTTGGAAGAATCGGTGTGATGGTGGCCCCGCCGCGGCGGCTGCTCCGGTAACAAGCAGGGCCGGTGGCTTTCGCTGCGCGGCCGCGGAAAGCACACCCCGAACGGCGGGAGATTCCTTGGGAAACCCGCCCGCACGGCCCCGCGCCGCTACCTGCGGAACCCAAACCTCCGCGGGGATGGAGAACCGGAGCTCCGCGGCCGCACCCCGCGCTGTTCTCCCCCCCCGCCATTCTCCGCGGCCGCGCATCCCGTCCTGCGAGCGGGGGGTCACAGAGGAGCCGCTCACACAGAGACGGGCAGAGCATTTTAAAAATTTATTTACAAAGTTGTGTACAACACGAAGGGATAACATTTAGAATACATATATTCATTCATATATAAACAGACTTCTATAATAGAATGACAGCGTTTTTCCTCCTTTTTTTTTTTCTCCAAAATTCTCTCTCTTTTTTTTTGTTCGTTCGTTTAATACTTAAAATTTCCCCCGCTTATTTTTTTGTACATTTTCGTTTTCTCGTTTGTTCGTTTATTTCGGATAAAACCGCTCGGAGCGCCGGAACCTTCAAAAAAAGTGAAAGTTCGCAGCTCCTTAATCGCGACCGTCATTTCGCCTCTTTAGAAAAATAAAAACCCCGAAAGCAACGTCAGTGATTTTTGATACAAATATGTACAAGCGGCGGTGGCCGGTGCCCGCTGCCGCCCCGAGCCCCAGTGGCCGCGGAGCCCCGAGGGGGCGGCCGGAGCCCTCCGGAGCGATGCCCGGGGCTACCGCCCGGGGCTACTGCGCCGGCCACTTGGCCTGCACGGCGGCGGCGGGGGCTGCGGGCTGCAGGAACTGCCCCGCGATGATGTTGGTAGGCACGCTGAGGATGGGGGCGATGGCCGCGGTGGTCCTGGCCAGCGCCAGCGGCTGGTGGGCCATCAGGGCCGACTGCACGGTGACGGGCGGCCGCAGGAAAGTCTGTGCGCTGGCGGCCGAGCTGGCGGCCGGGACGCCGATGATGTTCTCGATGCTGAAGGACGGGCGGCTGCTGGGCTCCGACTTGACGATGGAGCCGGCGGCGCCCAGGCTGTTGAGCTGCAGCTGGAGGCTGGGGCTGAGCTGGGAGTTGAAGGCTTTGCGGCTGAGCTCGCTGGACGGCAGCAGCGGCACGGCGGGCGGCAGCATGGGCCCCACCGGAGGGATGTAGGGGTACTGCAGCGCGGCCGCGGCCGCCGCGGGGTGCGTGTAGGCGCCGGGGTGCAGCCCGTAGGGGCGGCCGTAGGGGCCGGCCAGGCCGTAGGCACCGAAGCCCTGCATCATGAGAGCCGTCTGGTCCCGCAGGTGTTCCTGCTGGTGCCTCTTGAAGCGCTTCCTGCGGCGGAGGAAGCTGCCGTTGTCGAACATGTCCTCGGACTGCGGGTCCAGCGTCCAGTAGTTGCCCTTGCCCGGGTTGCCGGGCTCCCGGGGGATCTTGACGAAGCAGTCGTTGAGTGAGAGGTTGTGGCGGATGCTGTTCTGCCAGGCGGGGAACTTCTCCCGGTAGTAGGGGAAGCGATTGCTGATGAACTCGCAGATGCCGCTGAGCGTCAGCTTCTTCTGCGGGCTCTGTAGGATGGCCATAGTGATGAGGGCGATGTACGAGTAGGGCGGCTTCACCAGGCTGCTCTTGGGCTTGCTCTGCCCCGCCGCCCCGCCGCCGCCGCCGCTCGCCCCCTCCTCGCCGCCCCCCTTGCCGCCCTCGGCCGCGCCGCCGGGGGCCGCCCCGGCCGG